GGGGAGGGCACTCACCAAGTAGATGCTATTGTCCGTTCTGCTCAAGATCAGGAAATGAGTGACCCCCAGGGGTCCTGCCACGGCCACACAGTCCTTCAGAGAGTTCTTCTTGCGAACCTGAAGATTGCAAAAAGGACACACAAAGCAAAAAAAAGATGAAAATTCGACATCTCTCCTGGGCGAAGGTGAGTCTCGTTACCCCAGGGCCGGTTATGTTTTCTGCATATAAACTTTTCCTTTTCTGAGGCGCTGGGATGGAACCCAAGGCCTCACAAGTGCAGGACAAGCGCTCTCCGCTACATTTCCAACCCTTGTATTTATTGAAAGTTTTCTAAGACAGGATCGTGCCACATAGTTCAGGCTGGCCTTGAACTCGCTACGTGGCACATGCTGGCCTGGAACTCGCGGCGACCCTCCTGCTTCAGCCTCCTTAGTGCCGGGATCGCACGCCCGGCTCCATTCTTCACCGTAAGCTCGGGCCCCCCCTAAGCCCCAAGCTGGTTGCCTTGGCTGCAACACCCTCAGTTCCGGAGAGGCGGAGACAACGGCCCCCCAGAGGTCCCTCTCCGCAGCCGCGAAGCGGGGGCCAGGGCGGGCGGTGCGGACCTGCAGGCGCGTGGCGGTGAGCGGCTCCATGACCCGCCGCACGTCCAGGCTGAGCTGCCGGACGCTGCGCCCCGCGCGGCCCCGCGTGAACACGAACGAGTGCGGCTGCGCGGCGTAAGCCTCGAGGTTGCGGAGCTGCGCTTGGGCGCGCGCGCGCTTCTGGTGCCGGGACTGCGGGAACAACAGAATAAAAGAGTGAGCTCGCGACCTCGGGCTGGGCCCCACCGAGGCTCCCCTTTCTGCGGCGCCACCACTTACCCGCCCCGACTGCCCCATGCCGCCTTCTCCACGAGGTCGCCTTTGCCGGCAACTTCCGGCGCAGCGAAGCTCACTTCCGGCGCCTGGCCCGGTGACCTCAGCACGCAGGCATGCGCAGTAGGTGGCCTTGGGGCGAAGAGTGGAATTTAGAGGAGACGTTGCTATGGAAACACCAGGCGCCTGTTTCTACAGAAACCTAGGCGGGGCTGCGCCGCTCTGGGAGGCAGAAACACAAAACCATGGGTTCGAATCCCGACTCGCCCCATTTGCTCCAGCTTTGTCATCGTGACAACTTTCTCTACTCTGAGGCCCCGAATATGTTCTCAACTGAGAATGATACGGTCTCCCATGCCCTGCGCTATTAAGAGATGATGCATTCACAGCGCTTGCCACCAACACCGCCCTGGGGTAGCGGTAAGGAGAACAGACGGCCTATGGCAGACATTTCTTTTCGTCCCCCAGCTCCCGAGGGCCAGCTGTCCTCCTTGAGGACCCTTTCTGCAGGTGGGCTGAGGGATGGAAACTCTACATCACCTCTGGAAACTCTGGGCCGGGCCAGCTCCGTGAGTAATTCGCCTCCGCCCTCTTTCCGATGACGGTCCCAGTCTCGGCGGCGGCAGGGCTCTGGCTTCTTCCCCAAACCCTGCGCTGGCGGGGAGGGCCCCCTGCCTCGGCTTCCCCCTGCCCTCCCGCGTCCCCAGTTCCTTCTCCTTTCCTGTCTTCCCTCCCCTTCTCCATCTGCTCCCACCTCTGGCTCCCTGTCTCCTTGTCCTAAATGTCATCAATAAATCTCTCTCTCCCTCTCCCTCTTTTCCTAATTTTGCAGTCCTGAGGTTTGAACCCAGGGCCTTTGCACTGAACTCCATCCCTAGCCCTTTTTAATTTATTTTAATTTAATTTAACTTTATCTTATTTTTTATTTTGAGACAGGGTCTTTCTGAGTCACTAAGGTGTGCGGGCTGGGCTGGAACTTGCGATCCTCCTGTGTCAGCCTCCAGAGCGTTGGGAGCGCAGGCTCCAGCCACCCCATCCGGCTATCCATGATCTCGTTCCCTGTCCATACATTTCCATCTTCTTCCTGTCTCTGTTCCCGCCTGCATTCTGTCATCGGAGCTCTCCCTGCCTCCCGAAGTCTTTCCCTCCCTCGCCTCTCTGCGGTGTCTTCTCCCGGCTGCCAGTGCGGAAGCCGGAGGGGGCTGCGGGTGGGGGGCCCAGTGTGGGGCCCCAGCCCAGGCCGGAAGCCCAGGCTGGCAGCCTCTCTCGGTGCCGGGACGACCATTTCCTCTCTTGGCCCCCGAGTCCACTCGGGTTACTCTGGAGCTGCGCTCGGCGGGAAGCGGGGAAGGAGAGCAGTCTGGGGTCTGGGCTCCGTCCTGTGAGTCTCTCTGCGAGATAAATGCAGGGTTATTTCTTCCTGTTCTGTGTGTGGTTGGACTTATGCAAAAATGTGACAGGGTGTGTGTGTGTGGGGGGTGTGAATGGAAACTCCCAGGTTGGCAGCAGGGCACCTGGGGGTGGGTGTTGCTGTGTGTCTCCTTGCTGTCTCTGTGCTTGCCCTCAGCCTGCAGGGAAGACCCTTTTAAATTGTGACCATCCTCATAGAAGTTGTGCTGAATGTGTGACCGTATATATATATTTTTTGCTATTCTGGGGATTGAACCCAGGGCCTCTGTGCTGAGTTACATACCCAGCCATTTTTTCATTTGGAGACAAGCTCCGTCCGTTAAATTGCTAAGTTGTCCAGGCCGAGCTCAAACTTGGCAATCCTCCTGCCTCAGCCTTCCAAGTAGGCAGAATTGTAGGTGTGCACCACCATGCCCAGAAATGTGCGTCTGCTTTTTGACACATAAGTATTGCTCTTTTTTTTCCTCCTTTGAGCTGGGGCTCCAAACCAGGGCCTTGTGCGAGCTAGAGAAGCACTCTACCACTGAACTGCAGCCCAGCTCTCCAGTTATGTCTTTAGGCTTTATGTGTGTGTGTGTGCCGGGCATGGATCCCTTTTGTCTATCATAGCTGTTCTGCGCAGAGTCCTACCTGCTCTGTCGGCTGTTGGCACAAGTGTGTGTCTTTGTTATGCATGCACACGTGTGCAGCTCTTATGGTTTTATACATGTGTGAGTTCAAGAAGCCAAGAATCTCATTATGGTTGCTTTCTGGCTGTGTGACTGCAGGCGAGTGTCTCACCTTCTCTGAACCTCTTTTCCCTCCTACCAAATGAGGCTATCCACAGACGCCAGCTCAGGTTGCTGGCGATAACAATGTGTAGCATTTAGCTAAACGTGTCGGTGTATGTTTGTGGTCCCAGCTACTCAGGAGGCTGATGCAGGAGGATCCCAAGTTCAAGCTCAGCCTGGGCAATTTAGCGGCTTAGTGGGACCCTGACTCAAAATAAAAAATGAAAAGGGACGCACAGCAGGTGGCTGTCACCGTCCACATTGTCCCTTTGTGTGTCTGGGCGGCGTGCTGCATCCCGCATCCTGAATCCCGCAGGTCCCGCGGGGCCTGCCACCTCCCACGCTCTCCCTGCCCCGCGGAGGGAAGAGAGTGGCGCTGCCTGGGGCACTGACCTGGGTTATCAGGCTCTGGTGGCCCCGACTGAGGGATCTGGCGATCTGGCCTCAGTTCTCCCGCGGGAAACGCTAAATATTTACAGTTGCGCCTCTCTGGGGCTTGGGGGCGGGGCGCTCAGCGAGTCTCTCTCTCCAGGCCTCACTTCCCGCTCAGAGGCCCTGTGGGACCCTCGGGCTCTGCCTCGCCGGCTGGAGCCTGCTGTGAACCTCTCGGGATTTGGGCTCCCGGCCACGAAAGGTGAGCGGGTGCAGCGAGGGCGGGTCGATTTGCTTGTCGGGAGACCCCGGCCTCTGTCTACTTGGCTTCCCTCCTTCAGGTTGTCGCTGGGGTGGGGGCAGCAGTGGGAGCCTGGCCCGTCCCTGTGCTGGGGGAGGAAAGAATATGCTGCCAGCCCTGGGCGCTCCCAGTGGATGTACAGCAGTGACGCCTGTGCCCTTCTCGAGCTCTGGAACCCTCTATGGCTCCCACCTGATTTAGAGTAGAACCCTGAGTCCTCAAAGCAAACTGCCCCATATCACCTCACTGCCCTGGTCTCCCTCCTGCTCCTCCCCTTGCTCACTCTGTTCCAAATCAATACGTTACCCTGGCCAGGCTTGAACTTGAGATCCTCCTGCCTCAGCCTCTCAGAGTGCTGGGATTACAGGCATGCGCCACCACACCCTGCTTCCTGACCGGAAGTATCAATATCCAACTAGAGTATCAGACCCAAAAGGTAGGGATTCTGTCTGTTTTGGGTACAGCTGGATCCCGAGTGCCTGCAGCAGCTCCCGGCACACGGCAGGTGCTCAAGCAGTGTTTGTTAAATGGGATAATAAACAAGGTGGTGTGAGCTGATGTCCCACAGGACACGGGCTATGTGGCACCAGGGTGTGTGGGTGTGCACGGGACACAGCTCCCACGGGCTGGTGGTCATACACAGAAGTGCCCCTCCCCTTCTGATGGTCTGTGTGCCCTTGCCCGTGCGGACCTGTAGGGTCAGGATGCAGCGGCATGTCCACACTCGGGGAAGACACTTGCATGAGGTCAGCTGTGTCAGGCATGGAGTGACGGGGTGGGGCACGCAGACGGGGGGGGGGTGGTTAGGGCGCTTTGGGGACAGGAAGCCAGTGCCTGGAGACAAAGCAGTGAACAAAAACCCAGGCTCTAGCCAAGTGTGGTGGCACACACCTGTAATCCCAGCACTTGGGAGGCTGAGGCAGGAGGACTGCCACGAGTTCAAGGCCACCCTGAACTACAGTAGTGAGACCCTGTCTGGAAACAAAACAAAACAAAAAATAAAAAAAGAAAATCCAGATTTGGCCTCGGGGGCTGATGTTTTAATGGTGGGACTCAGATCATAAACAATGGTAAGTAAATGGGGTAATTTCAGGAGGACAGATAAGCAAGTGAGTAAGACTAGGATAGGGAAGGCCCACTCCTATCCTTCTTTTTCCTTTCTTTCTCCTACTGGGGATAGAACTCAGGGATGCTCTACCACTGTGATACGTCCCCGGCCCTTTAAAAGAAAATTTTTAATTTTTTTTTATTTTTGGGATAGGGTCTTGCTAAATTTTCCAGGCAGGACTTAAACTTTGGATCCTGTTCCCGCAGCCTGAGGAGTGGCTGGGATTCCAGGTAGGCACCACCACACCCAGTTTGAGCATGAGCTCTATTCTTTTTTTTTTTTTTTTTGCGGTACCGTGAATTGAACTCAGGACCTTGCACTTGCCGGGCAGGCGCTGTTCCGCTGAGCTACATCCCTCGCTGAGTATGAACTCTAAATGCGGGGTCTGTCAGGGATTCTGAGCCCTGGGTAAGGACAGGGCGCCCTGCTACGATGTGGAGAATGCTCCAGCTCAGGTCCCCAAGTGCAAAGGCCCTGAGCCTGGCATTTTCCTGGTGATGTCTGGGAGGAGGTGAGGCAGGGAAGGCCTCACGGGCCATGAGGACTTGCGCTTTTTCTCTAGGCAAGGTAGGAGCCAGAGAGTTCAGCTGTGAAAGCCCTGGGTGTCTGCAGGCATCCTCAGGCTGCCTGGGAGGCCTGCCTGCAAACAGGGAGGCATCAGCTAGAAGGAAATCCAGATGTCATCTGTAGGACGTGGAGGAATTCAGTTTTAAACAACAGAGCTGACCCAGGCCTGGCGGGTGGCTGGATCTGGCGTGGACAAAGTGCAGACGCAAGGTCTGGTGTGAGGGGCTCCACGTCCACAGAGCAGGGGTTTGTTAGCTCCTTGCCCTTCTCCACCTCGGCTGGCTTTGGCCAGAGATCTTCGGTTCATGCACCAGGTGCAGCGCAGCCTCAGGGCCTTTGCACCTGCTGCACCCGCTGCACCCCTGCCTGAGATGCTTTGCTGGGACAGGGACTTTGTTCTATTCTCATCTGTCCCCCGCAGGTGGCCATGGCGGCGCCCCGGCTGCGCGCCCTACCGCTGTTGCTCCTGCTCTGCGCGTCGTGGGTGCGTGCAGACGCGCCGCGCTGCACCTACACCTTCGTGCTGCCCGCGCAGAAGTTCACGGGCGCCGTGTGCTGGAGCGGGGCCGCACGGCCCGCGCCCGAGGCCGTCAACGCCAGCGAGGTGGCGGCGCTGCGCATGCGCGTGGGCCGCCACGAGGAGCTGCTGCGCGAACT